ACCAACTTACTGCAGCAGAGCGACCATCTCTGCTGCTGCTGTAGTACCCGATTACCATCCTACCAGCTGGCCCCCTCACTAGTAGGACGCTTGCCAGTGATATCCAACCTTCTTCTCCCACTCACTTAGGCAAAGTTTCAGGAAACGTCTCAAAACCCCCCATCCATCCTTCTTACCTCACTCCGGCAAGACTTACTGCAGCAGAGCCACCATCTCTGCTGCTGCTATACCCTATTTCCATCCTACCAGCTAGCCCCTTCACTGGTAGGACGCTTGATACCCCGCCATTTACTTCCAACACCAACCAGCGTCGTTCTGACCGCAGATTTATGAATATAACAGCATGATCTTGAGACCACCAGAAGCAACTGAAAGACAATTTTGAAGGTTTGGGGTACCGGGGCCATTACCCGGCTTCGGCGAAGAAAAATTGGAGCCAGACAACAACAAAACAAATAGCACAAACTGTGTTTTCTATGCCTTGTATAATAAGGGACGCTGGACCCGGTTTCCAGCAGGTGCAGCTCCCCACCAATAGATGGAGCCTACAACAGGAGGGGCACTTGAGAGGGGAGCTCCTCCTACCACCCCCTCAAGTGAGCCCCTCAGCCGGAGGTTTTCCCAAAAAGGAAAAAAAAAACCCTCTTTTTGAGCGTGCTTCTCAGGAGCTCGCTCCTCGGGAGGTGAACCATGGGGCCAGGAGCAGCCTACACTTGTCAATGGGTGTGATTGGAAAAACAAGTGTAGACTGACCGCATGTTGATGGTAGACATCAGTAACTGTTGATCATCTTTGGATTAACGTATCATGTCGTGAGATCCTCACCTTAAGAGTTTAAATTTGTTCGGTCGTTTTTTTTCCAACCTCAAGAATTCTGTGTTGCTGTCACTGTTGTTGTTGTTGTTGTTGTTGTTGTTGTTGTTGTTGTTGTTGTTGTTGTTGCCGCTGTTGTTATTGCCCTTTTCAAAAGCCTCACCGCACCACTCACCAAATGCACGAAAGCCAAATTTTATGGAGGTATATCTTTCAATGCTCTAGCGGAAGATTCATTCTCAATTTACACGTTTGGTGATTGGTGTGGTGGGGCCCTAATTCCCGAAGCATCTGATGGACACAACACTGTTAGGGGCTACCCCCTTCACAAAAGACAAAAGGAAGTAGCAAAGATTAAACCAAGGAAGACCCCCCGGCCCCCCCCGACCCCAAGCCAACAAAAACAACTTAGAAGACCCAGCCTATGTGTCTGAGAGGTGCACTAAGTCTTCTCACTGGGACTTTTTGGATGGATCTGGCCCTAATCAAAGCACGTCCGGGATGTATCTAAACTTGAAAGACAATTGCATCCTCAGATCATGAGTCGGAGAAGTCTTGGTATGGATATGCCCTAAGAGGTGTACATTCCGGGGGACAAATTTGTCTGAACAGTCCCTGCAGGGGATGCACTGCATGCTTTTTTTCTGTTTGTTGGGGGGGTCGGGGGAGGAGGGGCGGGGGGCGAAGATACGGGTTCAAGTTGTGATTTGGCTGGCAGGCATTAAGAGTTTCCTCGTGCCGTAGATACGGAAGGTTAATCAAAGGTCAGTATTTGTTAAACCACCAGACTGAGTACCTTTCCCCAAAACAAATGCCCGCCGGTTAACACCGGCGGCGGGGAGCCTCGGCACTACCGGGGCGAAAATGGCTGGAGACGGCAGCCAAATTCGAGCACGCGTCGGTTCGTTTTTTTTTGGCACACAGTTCGAATTTAGGGGCTTGGCACCTACGGCTGAGAAAGGTACTGGCGGTTTAATCTGAGTTGGTGGAATCTCGGCGGGTCCAATACCAATCAGTGTCATCCTGCGCGGCGAGCTGTTTATCCTTAACTCCAGGTGGAGTGTGCCTCGTATTTGGGGGAGACGGGTAGGGCCCCAGATGTACATATTGGTGCAGGACCATTATGGTCCCTCCCCCCCTTTTTTTCCCCCTTTGTCTGTTTTGTTGAGTGGTTTTAAACATCACCACTGCGCTACAGTTTCTTTTGTAACTAATAAGCAATATTCTTCTCTCTATTTCACCTTTCACTACCTTACCTTTTTTTTTTCTTTTTTTTTTCACGGACTCACCAGACTCTGACCCTACTACCACTACTCCTATGCCTGTCTAGGAGACCCCTGCAAGCAATTCTACCTCTCTTTTTTTTT